GGGTGAGATTTGGGTGGTTTTGCTGCAGAGTTGTGTGAAGCTCAAATACAGTCATTGGAGGGATTTTCGTTCATATGTGTGGGGTTCAATTTGTTCTGACATCCAGTCCAAACTCTGAGCAGCAAATGTCAATGAAGTTAATAAGACACAGTGAAAGATCTAAATGGGCCTGATTCTCTCACAATTACACTAAGGCCCCTCTCTAGTGCACTGGCCGCAAAAAGGGGCATTTAAGTGAATGTAAATACAATCACAGTTGTGGAGAATAAATTATTGAAATCATAAAGTAGTTGTAGGAATTCCAAAAGCCTCACACCCACTGACATGATGCAACTTCTCCAGTCAGTCATGACACCCTTCTACAATTAGAGTGACCAGATAGTAAGTGTGAAAAATCAGGGTGTGGGACTGTCCCTATAAAATCAGGACATCCTGTCACCCTATCTACAATAACAGCATAAGATGTATTTAAACTAGTTGCTGTCTCCACAACACAGTTTGTCACTAGGAAGGGCTGAGTTCCCAAAGCAGTTATACACAAACTCCTTAGGATTATACAGGATATGCACCCTTTCTTTGGAACAAGTGTAAGACACATTTTGCCCAGCTGAACAAAACAGACATGACTATGTGTTTCATTCAATGCTTGGGTGCTCTCTCTCTACCCCTCTCCCCACTCCGGTGCAGAAGTAGAGACCTATCTGGTATGGACCCCAAGGAAGCTTATTTGGGGCAGGGGGAAACCGATAGTTAGTCAACAAAGGGAAAATATAAAGAGGATTTAGCAGCATAAAAGAGTGAAATGAGATATTTCATCTGAAAGTATTCTCTCTCCAGAAAGACACAGAGGCATCAAAGAGAGAGACTGGGCCTGGGTGACTGGGAAGATAATGTGGTTACTAACAGAGGAATTCAAGGGGGCAGATAAATTTGGCTTTAACCAGCTTGATATGAGTGTGTGGGATGAGAAATCAGTTAGAGATGTGAAAGTGACTAGAGGGGGAGGAGTCAGAGTGATCATGGACACAATGCTGTCATTGGATAAGAGATAAGAGGTTGTGCTCAAGAGATAAGGTGTAAATGGAGAAGAGAACTAGGGACAGAACTCTGAGGGACCCAACTGAGGGGGGAAAGGAATCATTAATGGGAAGGGAAATTGAAATATCATCTGAAGTGGCTGGAGAGCAAGGAAGAGAACCAAGTTTCAGAGTAGCAGCCGTGTTAGTCTGTATCCGCAAAAATAACAGGAGTACTTGTGGCACCTTAGAGACTAACAAATTTATTAGAGCATAAGCTTTCGTGGGCTACAACCCACTTCTTCGGAACCAAGAAAGCACTAAAGCCAGGAAAGACCAAGGCAAAGAGAGAACAGCTGTGTCACAGACAGCAGATAGCAAAGGAGACAGAAGATCATCTTAGGCTAAAATGGAACTGCAGGGATTCCAGGTAGGATCAAAGGAGATAAAGTGAAAGAGGGGAAAGTAGACAGCAAGGGGAGGTTGGAGATGGAGACAAGTGGAGTCAAGAGGTTTTCTTTTCAGGGAAACCGGAGTGTTTTTGAAAGCTAATGAAAGGAGCCAGGTCAGTGAAGATGACCATGCAGGAAGAGATTGAGAAGCTGCAGTTCCTAGATCCACTAATAGATAATGCACCACTAAAGGATTTATTAGGCATGCTGGATATAAAGTACAGCTAGTTTTGTGCTACTCACTTCAAAAAACAAACTTTGTGGCCTCTCTTTGGAAGGTCAAGTTATGCCTGAGAAGTGAGCCTGCTCATATGCTACATTTGAGAGGCAGGAAACAATGGATAGCATATGGCGAACATTATACTGCACTGGCAAGTCTCACTGTGTGATATTCACTGAGCTATCCAGCTCCATTTGTCATGTTTAATATGTTGGTGCAACAACTATAAATATGTGGTTGCTACACAAGTATCATTAGTCATTTTAATATAAGAGTGAAAATATATAAGCACAATACATCTTTTAATGCAGCCTGAGGGATCCTTTATTGTGGAAGCTGAGGTAAATTTTAGTGCTGTTATGGGGGTCAGACTGACAGCCTTAGTGAGTAAAGTGTTTTAGATACTCTGAAGGACAGGTGACTGCAGTGTGTATCGCTTGACACTGCTCTCACCAATCTGCTTCAACCCTGACTTGGAGAGACCAGCTGTAAGATTTAGTGCTTGATTGCTTTACTGAGATTATGAACAAAAGTGCTCGTTAGTGCTTATTGTTTGTATTGGGTTTGGAGGGAATAAGGAATGTAGGACACTCTTCCTTACTCCTCCTCCCCGCCCCCTGAAGGGAACTGGAAAGGGAAACCATTCCAGTGGAAATTCCAGTTTCAGGTAGGTCAGTGTAGATGGTAACAACTCTTGGTCACTACACAGCTGCACTGGTTTTCAAACTGATAACCTAGAGGTGAGAGGCTCTCTATTCCTTTATTAACCTCCCGACTTATCAGCCTTACTGTAGCGTGATAAGACATCCCATGCTCACATTGGTACCAATATGGCATTGCATGATTTGCCTTCTCTGGACCAAGAAACATTTGAACGTAGAAACCCTGCCTTCAATAGATTGGCTCAAGTTGAGAAGTTATGACTTGACTCCCAGCTGCCCCAAAATTCAGCAGTGTGCTTGAGACCATCTATAAAGTTAACCTTACATTAGAGAGGGAAAAATGGACCATTGTGGAGTGAGTATATTGGCCACCAGCAGAAAATTTGGCCTGATGACTTAAATGTGCTGAGGTGTTATAACCTGGATATTCCACTGTAAGAATCTGATAACTAGAGTCCTGTCCTTAAAGCCTCTCAGTAGGGGCTTATCTTTAATTCTCCTTCCACGTATTACTCCGCAGTCTAAACCAGATAATCAGTTACAAATTCATATTACCTGAAAGAGCTGCCGAAAGAGCAGAGCAGGCTTTATATATAAACAATGAAATGGTTAAATCTTATGAACCCAGTTTGAATTCATTCAGGAACTGCATAGCGAATACTTTACTGCTTATTCCTATGTGTCCAAGGTTTAAAGTGGTTCTCAGTAAATGGATCTCTTATAACACAATGGTCCACTTTCTTTGTATTTGTATTTTTCATTGAATCACTGTAACATCCTTTGAACCATTACTGAATTCATATCATAGTACTGGAGTTTTCACTAATTTGACTCAGAATTATCATCATATTAATGAGTAATGTAGTCTAGCAATTCAAATTGTAATACAGAACTACAGAAAACTCTAAATATAATAAAACGTTCATATCTTATCAGGACAGGCACACTTTCCCCACATTTTGGCCAATTTCCAGTAGTACCTCTGAGCTGACTTGCTGGAAACCCGGTATAAGTGGGAGAAGTAATCTTTTGAAAAAAAATTTTTTTTTGGCAGAATTCCTGTTTTCTGCTTGGTTTATTGTTCCTGGTGATGCTGTGAGTGAAAACTTTCCCCCCATCAGACAACTTTTAAAATAAAAAAACATTTTGAACCACTATTTCTATCAAACTAAAGTCAGATTTATTCTGCATTGTTACTTTCCATGTTAACTATAAATAATTTGTTTGTGTGTTTTGTGATTTGACAGCAGTTGATTTGCGTTGACTTTGAAATTAATCATTCTGCAGCACACAGTGTCAAAATTATTAAAAATTCCCAATGTGCACGTGTTTATTTTACTAATCATTAATAGGTATTAATGTCTTAGATTCAAATGCTTTACATGCTGATTACTCTAGAATGTTTGGTTTTAAAGTCACAAGAGTCCAGATCCTCAAAGGTATTTAGGTACCTAATGTTCATTGATTTCAAACCATTGAGGAGCTGAGCCAAAGCCACTTGGGCACTGTTACAAATAAACTACATTGCTACACATTGTAGCAGATCCTCAGGTGGTGTAAATTGGCACAGCTTCACTGAATTCCGTGGTGGGTGACTATTTACACCAGCTGAGGATCTGCTGTGGAGTCTTAGGCCTGGTCTACACTACCCCCCCACTTCGGACTAAGGTACGCAAATTCAGCTACGTTAATAACGTAGCTGAATTTGAAGTACCTTAGTCCGAACTTACCGCGGGTCCAGACGCGGCAGGAAGGCTCCTCCGTCGATGCCGCGTACTCCTCTCGCCGAGCTGGAGTACCGGCGGCGAGCACTTCCGGGATCGATCCGGGGCACTTCCGGGATCGATTTATCGCGTCTTAACCAGACGCGATAAATCGATCCCAGAACATCGATTGCCTGCCGCCGGACCCTCCGGTAAGTGTAGACGTACCCTTAGGCTTTCAGTGACTATTTACACCAGCTGAGGATCTGGCCCCTAATATGACAGGTAGAACAGGGCTTCATGTATGCACAATTGATAATGTGATGTTTACACATAACTGCAATGACATGTAATGCAAGTTTTATGTCATGAGTTTTATAAGCATTACAGAGGCAACAATATCATTGTCAGCAAAATGTCATTGTATTTAGTTAATGGAAAAAACCCCTCACATTAAGGGTTTACATATACAGGGACAAATCCAAAAGTCCCTAATCAGGCAAAGTTTTGCCTGAATTACATCTCCAGGATTTGATCCTTTGTAATTAAAACATAAAGATTCTATATCTGAAACACATCTGTGAACGAAGAGCTGTGTATTTGCTTATTAACTGCCCAAAGTATCTTACCTTTGTTTAGCCAGAAGAGATGACTTAACAAAGCCCACTGAAGTATAAAGGGCTATTTTTTTTAATGTTACTCTGTTTTTTATGAATAGAAAAAAAAAAAAAAAGGCAATCTTGGATTTTTCTTGAGAGAGAGAGAGAGAGAGAAAGAAAAACATGCAACTTGAAGCCTAGTGCCTGCAATGCTTGGAAGACATTATGATTAATTTTATACTCGGGTTTCCAGATGTTGGATTGTATCCCAACTTTTAAGGATTTCTAATGTTTAACAGGATATGTGCTGAGTATAGCATTTAACAGAGTTTTCTTTCATAAACCTAGGATCTAGGAGAAAAGGAGAATTCAGGAAAATATTGCAGACTGGGAGCTGAACCTACAATTCTTCCAGAAAAAATAGGATGAGCAAAACTGGATTGGTGCCTTATTTATTTAGAAAGACTATGGATAGGCACAAAGTCCCTCATTTGAGCTGTTTGTGCACTATCCTTTTGGTGCTCATTTGGACTGGCATCTCACATGCCCAGAAGGATTGTACAGGAGCGGAGTGCAAGCAACTGGAGAACTGTATTGAAGAGGTGCTTGAGCCTGGTGAATGCTGTGCCTCTTGTTTGCAACATGGTTGTACTTGTGAAGGCTACCAGTACTATGACTGTGTCAACGTGGGATTTATGAATGGCAAAGTACCCGAAGGGCAATCTTATTTTGTGGACTTTGGAAGCACTGAATGCTCGTGTCCCAAGGGAGGAGGCAAGATCAGCTGCCAGTTTATGCTTTGCCCTGAGTTGCCCCCAAACTGTATTGATGCTGTACTACCAGCTGATGGCTGCTCTCAGTGTGGAAGAATAGGCTGCCTCCATGAAGGTCAGAAGTATGTAGCAGGCCATACGTTCCATATTCCTCCATGCAAGGTTTGCCATTGCCCAAATTCTGGAGGTGAACTGATGTGCTACCAGCTCCCAGACTGTGGTCCATCCACATTAAATCCTCAGAGCCCAACGGATACTGAAGAGAACGAACCGGAGAGGCACTACGACGATCCGTACAGCTATGACCAAGAGGCACCCGAAGGAGACGCCACTCAGGTGGAACCTCCTACAAAACACAGGAACTCTGCAGCCCATACAGAAGAAGACAGCATTGGCCAAGAACAAAGTGAGGATTATGAGTACCGTGCAATCAGCGTTACTTCCCCACCGTTGACTCAACCTGTTACACACGCTGAAGAAGCTGCTGTAGCAGTCAACACGCACACTCCTGTTCCCCGTCCTGAACTTAACAGTGCAATGGAACAAGAAGAGGAAAAGAGAGACCTAAGCACCACAATGGCACCCACAGTGCAGGTTCTGAGTGAAAAAGTAACTGTGACTAGCAGTGCTCCTGAGGAGCAAACAACTGCTACGACGGAGATGCCCACGCAAGCGGTAGAATCAGGGAGAAAATCAAAGGGGAAACAAGGGGAGAGAGGGAGACATGAACAAGAAGGATATGCTCGCCCTAAACCAAGAAAACACATGAGAAAAGATTATAAAGAGCAGGGGGGCAGTATATCTCCAGCTCTGAAAGAGACAAATGTAACCGTGTCACATGGTCCCAGACCTTCCCATGAAAAGCATGGAGGAAATACTTTCCCCAAGGTCAAATTTAGTCCCACAACATCCCCTCCCATTGCTCTGAAAGAAGACCGTAGTCAGGCATCCCAAAAGCAGTCACAGACGCTTTATCGTTACCAACCTGAAGAAGAAGGAGACCCCAATTCTATTCATGCTGCTTCCAGGTTACCAGAAGGTAAGGCCTCTTTTTTTATTTACAGCATAGATGTTTTGTTGAGAATATTGAATCATTATATAAAAATGGCCCAGAAACATTGTTCTCTCCTTCTCACTGATACACACGTGCATGAAATCAAATAAATCTCCAATCTTCTTTTGTCTTTCTAAAAGAAGCAAGGATTGTTACCTGTTTAATTTGGCAGAATACTGTTGTTTGCCTTACTTTAATTTCAGAGACTGGACAATGTTTTTTTCTGGTGTTTCAACTGCATTTCAGATCAGGCATCGTTCATATACAACCCTTTCCCTTACCCCACTCATTACTGATGTTGAAATGACTTACTATGCAGAGAAGGAATCTGACTTAGCTGGCTATTTGCCTGATTTGATTATCCACCTAAACAAAATCTTAGCTTTGACCATATTGATAAAAATCAATTGTTCTAGTATTCCTAGAAGACAAAGCAGGTATTAATACAAAGAAGTATTTACAGTAGTTGCTGCATGTGATGCTAATTTTTTAAATGTTGTCTAAACCTATTAATGCAAGAACTTTATAAATACGCTAGAATATATTGCCATGCAAGGAAGTAGTAGGAAGCAAAAGAAATACTGCATCTTTCTTGTCGTTTTTGGGCTAGAAGTTTTATGATGTTTTTGATCAGGGCTGGCAAGAGCACGTATTTCCTCTTTGCCTCTGGGTTCCTTTTGACATCTGTAATAAACGTTGATTATAAGCTTTATGCAGTGCTCATTACAGTAATGAATGCAGACTCCACTGCTGCAAATCAGTATGAATACAGCTCACATTTCTGATTCATTTTTCATCAAATCAAACGTAACATCATTTTTTTTCATGATGTGGCACCAAATATTCTCATGATGGTTTTTAATGTTATATTTCTTTGTTTCTTGTAAAATATCTGCAGTACAGGTAGAGAATGCTCATTAATCTGGGCCATGGTTTTCTTCACATGTCATCCAGGTAACATGCTGAACCACCTGTTCCCACTCTGATAAGAGGGGAACTGAGATCAGATCTAGATCCTGGGTTGAAACAGACATTATGGCACCTGTCCAAAATAAACTATATACACGATATGTGAATGGGCACAGTAACCTCTCCCTTTCCTTCCAATCTGAGAACCCAAGTACTTGCATTTTTTCTTTGTTTTTATTGCAAATGCTGATTTAATTGACTTAATCAGAGTGGGACCTTGTGTTTTCAAACTTAGAATAATATCCTGAACAACAGCAGTAGGCCAAAGGTCTTGTTCTGTATAAAAATCTATACATTGGCACCATAGATAAACACTTAAAGTGGCTAAGTAAACATAACACCTACAGAAGTGAATGCTTAGTACATAGCAGCAGGGTAATATGCACATTTTTAAAGGCACATCACTAACTTCTGACTTTAAAAAGTGATTTTGAAAGTCATTTCAGGTGCTGGGCCCACCTCCCAGTACTCTGGATTTACAATCTCATTGTCTTTTTCTTTTCTTTTTAAAATTTTTCTGAAAGATCAGAACCCACATGGGAATCTAGCTGTGACCCTCTGGGGGAAGCGTGAAACTGCCTGTACAAGACGTACTGGCCACTGTGCAGATTAAAGATTGGGAAAGTAGAGTGCAAAGTGGAGAAAGAAAAAGTATTAATTATTTGTTAGTTTGGGATGAACTGTATAAGTCACTCCCAGCCAATGTAGCCATCCAAAAATTCATGCGAGTAAAACTGACACACCACCCTACACTATCATGTATTCTTTTGATAATGTTCATCAGTATAATACGTTTTTTTCCCTGTTCCTCTCTGTCTTCTTGCCAACACATCCCAGATATTATGGGTCTGAAACTCCAATGTTTTTCCACCATGTGTAGCCAGGTACATCTGTGTAAAGTGGAGTAACACACTATCTGATCTCAATGGTAGCCTCTTTGAACAGGTGTAAATGATCATACAAGGTGCAAGGCCATTAGAAATCAGACCCTACTGTTAAAAGATTTCTGTTAATAAACAAGGGACATAAACCCAACTCCTTTTCTGTGCACAACTACAGGATCTAGGTTTAAAACCCAGCCACTGCATTTCTTCCATTTCACTCAAAGGAGTTGTAATGGATTGATGACTCTAGTATTAGGGTTATACTTTATCCTTGGATCTGAATACAAATGCATTTTTATGGTCCTGAATGAACTTTAGAGCCATTTGGCATTTTGTCCCTGGTACAAATCCTTTCTGAAGAAAGCCTGAATGTGAATCCTAGTAATAAAACTTCATCTATTATCAAAATTACTTGTAGCCTAAGGCCAATTGTTCTCACAGGCTGAAACTAAAACTTCAGCAGCAAGCCTTGCTCCGCCACAAAGTGATGTTTCGCCAACCCCAGGCTCTGCCTTCAATCTTTCAAAGTCCCCTGGAGAACCAAGAGTCTTACAAATTTAGGTTTGAACCTCTCCACAACCTTCCATAAAGAGTCTTGTGGCCTCTCCCACCAGAACATTATTCTCCTTTCATCCTTGTTGCTGTCTTGAGAGAAGTCTCAATGCACACACACACGTACGTACATATGTATGTATCTGGTACCATAGCTGTATGGTTGTCAGCTGCCTGTGGAGGGGTTGACCATAACTCTCAGGAGGCCAGTATGGCTAACTGCTTCCTCAGGTGATTTTATTTAAACACGTTTCAATAGAATTGGCTGAATTTGAAGCCTGGATGTGGCTGATGGGGGAAACAGTTAATTTGCATGACATGGACAATATGGATATTATGTCAACAGAGAACTTTCTAACCAAAGTAAGGAACATCCTAGCAGACCCTGAATATTACGTTCAATGGGAGGTGGATGGATACCTTCAGGTGACGCTTGGCCCTTAAATAAATTAGTATTCCTCTCAAGATTTTGCAGTAGAAATATGAAAACCAGTAGTCTTTCTTCACAGCCTTTTTTTTTCAGATATAAATGATGCACCTTCATTGAGGTCAGCAGTGCTGAATTTGGCTCATGGAGTTAAAGCAGTTGCACAGACCCCATGTTTGTGTCAATAACCTAAGACTTTTCTTAAGGCCAGTGTTAGGCAAGGCACAGAAGGCCAGCTGTTTCATGTTTCCCATGATACTAGCTGATAGTAACATATTTCTACAGACCTATTATAAAGCTGACACTGTCCACAACTGGGAATGTCATTCGTCATGGTTAGGACCAATATTACTGCCTGGGAACTGGTTTTTTTGTGTGGGTTTCTTTTGTTTCTGTTTTTTGTTTTAATTAGGATAGGTTGTGACTCATGAGCATAGCAATGTGTTTTGAGTAATAAAATACATATGTCCTATATTTTTGGTGACTCTTGAGCTAGACTGGCAAAGAACTTAGCCAGAGCTTGAAAGAAAATTGAATTTTGCATGTGGGTATAGAATGGAAACTTGAATTTGTTAGGTAGACTTGTAAATTAGTATAATCTGCCAAAACTGTCAGCTAATCTTTGCCTTTTCCCCGAAATCAAAATAAAGTATGCTGACTGCACCAATCAGATAATCTTGTTTTGAAGGGTCAATTTAAAAAACTGGGAGACAGATTAGCTGATTCCAAATTAGCTGCCACTGAAATCAGTGAATAAAGCAGTGCCACAAATACACTCACTTCTGCAGAGATTCTGATTCCCACATGGATTTTTATGGAACCTAAGCCCTATATGGATTTCTCAGGAATTTCTAAGCCTCCCATAGATAGGGCCAGATTCTCAGCTGGTGTAAATTGGCCTAGTTCCACTGAGGTGAGGATGTGGCCCATAGACTCTTGTTGAGTTTAGAAATCACTGGATTTATTGAAAGCAGAATGAGGACTGTCCTTCCATATCTCTTCCAGCAAATATGCAAATGTTTCACCAACACCACATCACAACTCTCTTAGATATAATCCCTCCCCTACACCACCTACAGAAAGCTATACTTCCTCCTGGGCACTTCTACACCACACAGGGACTCTTCTGGAACATCTAACGCCCCAATGGGGACTCCTTTGAAATTCTTAGAATCAGCTCAGTTAAAGAACTTTTTAAGGAGGCTTTGTATTCGTAGACCTAGTGGAGTTGAATCTGCTGGGCTGAAAGATTTTAAGATGGCTGTCTGCTTTATTTAGCACTGAAGAAATTTTGGTGTCCTACGAGAAGAAGATTGAGATATGCTTATTAACACAGCTGAGTTTACCCACTTTTCATTTGGGAATTAGGTTAATTTATCCACTTCTTTTAACCACTACACCACTGGTGGAGAGAAAATGGTTTCATATGGCAGGAATGCCAGTACTTTCCTTTGACAGCGACACAGAAACTAAGGAAATTCCCAGATGATAAACTTGAAGGTCAAGTTAAAGTTTTTAAAATTTGTATTAACCACTTAAAAAGAATTTTTTAAAAGAAGCAATAGACCTAGAAAACTGAACATTTATAGAATTTTTAACAAAAAAATGGAAAAATATGGAAATATTGTTAAGGAAACACCAGATAAATTTAACCTTTAGTCTGCCACCTACATAACGTAGAGTCATGTCTAGAAAAAGTATTACAGCTAGTTGGCATCTTAAATGCCACATTTCTTAGTGGCTGGGAACATCTCAATTCTCTGTATGGTTTGCCTATGTATTTAAAGAAGTTGTGAACATTGTTACCAAAGTCCCAATCAATTTACATAGCAAGTTACACACAGTTCAAGATCTCCACCCATCACAGGGAGCCCTGATGAACCAAATAACAAAATACTGCAGTGACTTATAAATACCCATTGTCTAACATGGGGGGAGGGGGAGATCCTAAATTTGGAATGTGGGATGGAGACTGGATACCAGAGGCCTGAATCACCAGTACTCTGAATATTTATTTACTCTGACACAGTTAGTGTAAAATCCTATCATTCTGATTTGATAACATTTTATATCCACCTTGCACTGTGTAAATGATTATACAAGGTGAAGGTTAACGATGAATTGTGCCTTGTATTAAGACTGTGGGATAGAAG